TGATCCCTTTTCTTCGCCATGGCACAAGGCCCTTTCTTTGGCCGTTGCGCGGCTTTGGTGGGAGATGTGTACCATGCTGGCCCAAGTTTCCAATGAATAAAACGACACGAAACACGATGTCAGTCAGCAGTTCTTTCAGATTTTCCATTCGGATGTTTGGCAGATTGGCAAACAGAGGCCTGAGGCCTGAGGCCTGGGATGGTGGGACTCCCTGGCAGGTGCCATCGCAAGGATGTTCCAACGGCTGCAACATAAGGACAGAGAACATCTTGGCCACACAGCCCTGTGAGGATCAGCCCAGAGGAGATGTTTGGAAGGAATTTCGGGATGGCTGCTCGGTTGACCCTGCATGTCTGCACCCTCCAATGGCAACCCCGTGCTATTTAAGCTTTCATGAAAATTGCTGGATGGAACTGGATGGGGCATCACCTGTGAACTAGATGCTGGAAGTGTTTGTTCCCCACCTGCCAGGTGAGGGTTGTTAGATTTTATGTCAGTTGCCTCCTCCTCCTCCTCCTGCTCCTCCTCCTCCTGCTCCTCCTCCTCCTCTCCTCCTCCTCCTCGTCCTCCTCGTCCTCCTCGTCCTCCTCGTCGTCCTTGCTCAACTGCGACCCGCGATCCACAGTGTTCTCTGCCGGACCTCAACCACGACCATCCACGCCCAGTGTTCCCTGCCGGACCTCAACCCCGACCATCCACGCCCAGTGTTCCCTGCCGGACCTCAACCACGACCATCCGCGCCCAGTGTTCCCTGCCGGACCTCAACCACGCATCCAGTGTTCCACCTCAACGACCATCCACGCCCAGTGTTCCCTGCCGGACCTCAACCGCGAGTATCCACGCCAAGTGTTCCCTGCCGGACCTCATGTAGAAGATATGGGACAAAGAATGTGCAGAAGAAAGTTAGAAAGAATGTCAGAAAAATGAGATTGCCAGAAGATATGCCAGAAGATATGCCAGATAGAATGCCAGATAATATGCCAGAAGATATGCCAGATAGAATGCCAGATAGAATGCCAGAAGATTTGCCAGATAGAATGCCAGAAAATATGCCAGAAGATATGCCAGATAGATATGCCAGAAGATATGCCAGAAGATATGCCAGAAGATATGCCAGAAGACATGTCAGAATATATGCCAGAAGATATGTCAGATAGAATGCCAGAAGATATGTCAGAATATATGCCAGAAGATATGCCAGATAGAATGCCAGAAGATATGTCAGATAGTGCCAGAAGATATGCCAGATAGAATGCCAGATAGAATGCCAGAAGATTTGCCAGATAGAATGCCAGAAGATATGCCAGAAGATATGCCAGATCATATGCCAGAAGATATGCCAGATAGAATGTCAAATAGAATGTCAGAAGATATGTCAGATAGAATGCCAGAAGATTTGCCACTAAGAAAATGTATAAATGTCATGGTGGGGATCACACGAAGTAAAGTAATTTTCTATTTGGCATTTCGGGCCGCACGGTAAAACTATACAAAACTAAGATAAGCTAAGGGCAACGATGTTCCCCGCGTAGTTGGCAACTTATATGTTATATGGGGATATATGGGGATAATGGTTAGATGTTCCCATCCCACCAGATTTTAGGATATACTGCAGCTTTGTCCGAGTTCTACGGCACGAATGTGAGCGAGGTCGTCATTTGGCCCATGGCCAGCGACATCTTGAGACAGCTGGAGGTGACCGGATGCAGCGGCCTAGGTGTGCCAGAGCTACAGGTGGAAATGATATCCCAGACGCCCTGGTGCCAGGGTCACGTTCCCTGGTTCAAAAAATGGGATCCACTTGGGAAGATTGGGGCTTTGAGCTCAGGGTATCAGGCCCTTTAATCTTAAAATCAAACATGCTCTTGTTTTTTGCCCCTCTCCCCCGGACGGACGGATGGACAGATCCAGCTATATATCTATGTATCAATGTATTTGTTTGTACAAGTTTGTATCTTTTTGTATTGCTTGGTAACTATCTTAATTGTATTTTTGTATTTATTTGTATTTGTATCTATGCTAATACGTATCTTTTTGTATCTATGTATCTACCTTTCCTATCCTACCTTGCCCTATCCTATCCTACCCTATCCTACTGTATCCTATCATGTCCTATCATGCCCTATCTATCTAATCGATCCAATCGATCTAATCATTCCATCTAATCGATCTCATCCATCTAATCTATCTCATCCATCTAATCTATCTAACCTATCTAACCTATCTACTCTATCTAATCTATCTAATCCAATCACATCTAATCTATCTAGCTATTTACCTTTCGTATCTCCCTTGGTGAAAAAATATGAATGTAGAGGGATGGGTGTATCTTCTGTGCCGCTTTATTAGTCAATGGTTCCCGAGAGTTTCCCTGTATCTGTGGCGCTCTGAGGACCGCTTATTTCGCCCATTGGCATGGCTTTGTCCCAGGTCTTGTGGCTGTGTTGAGCATCCCTCGTCCCATTGCCCGGTGAATTGCAAAGCAAACGCCAGCGGCTGACTTCGCTGTCTCTGTTTGGGCTCCGGGGATGATCTTGGGCCATGTTGAGCCATGTTGCCAACGTGTACATATCATTTGGGTGGCCTCTTGCGCGGGAGGGTGATCTTCAAAAGCAACCCAGTTCCGGCATATGCCACATTTAAATCGTAGAAGCCAGCTGAGCGGCTAAGCTGCCCCTGGCCATTGTTGCTTGTGTTTGGCCCCCCCGTTCCTCCCCACACTTCCCCATCTCTCCTGTCACTTATGTTTCGTAGGAACTCATGTGAAGCCTCATCTGCGTGGGGTGCAAACAAGTCCGATCCTGTGGTCTGGGGTTCCATATTTTGCGTCAGGTGACCATAATGTTCTGAAACTGCTGGGCCCATGTTTTGTTCCTGGGTCATCCACGACACAAACGGACTTCTTTCCTAATGCCGAGGAGCGTTGGCTTGCGGATCATCCCCAACTCTTTGGTGACACAGGCGAAAAGGGTGGAGTGAAAAGTGGTCTCTTTTCATGTTTCTTCAGGTCCTTCCGAATCATTCCGGCATGTAGAACACTCTGGCCGCGAGGAATGGGGGAAGCAGTCCAAACTTGACACCTTTCACCTGCCAGGTTGCTGCCAAAACAGAGCTGCCTGTGATGCTGTTGGTGCTTGTGGGGTATGTGTGGGGGCCCAGATGGCCCAGCTCTTGGCAGGAAATCATGGGCCTTCAACTGATGAAATGCTGGACAAAGAAAAACACCCTTAGATTCCTGCGACAACTTGGTGATCGTCCATTTCCAGAGTCCTTCAGCTTGACAATCATATGTGGTTCTAAGATGTTCTAAGGTAATCCTACTTTTGAAGTTTGTTGCAGCGGCGTCATAAACGGAACCAAAAGCCCGGGTGATGTGAACGCCGCCATTCTGGGCTCAAGCTGAAAGGTTGGGACATGTCCATGTTGGGACAAATGGGAGCAAGGTGGTCAATTTGGTTCTCACCAAATCAATCCGAACTCCGAACCCTTTCTGTGAAGAACAGCCGGGTGGCATCTGTTTATTTCACATCCATGTGCTTGAAATATCTTGAAATGCTGATGGCGAATCTGCAGCTGGGACCTTTTGTGACTGCAGAGGTGGCAAGAACAATCCTGGTATTTTGAGAAAATTTCCCTTTGTGGCGCTTTTGTCAGATAGAAGTCTACTGTGGGTTGAGACTGCAACGCAGCTGAGCGGATGGAAATCAAAGAGAAGCAGATCCAGTAACGTGACAACTAGATAAATATATGAATATATGAAATACTTGGCTTCATAGTCCATAGCCTAATTTTTCACATTTTTCACCCACGCGCAGCGCATGTCGGCGATGTGGGGCTTTGGCCCTGATGCAGCAGTCGCACCAGCAGTGGCACCCAGCAAGGTGATTCGGAAATGGGTCAAAATTGGAGTACTGCTATAAAAATCTATAAAAATGGGGTTGTCTTAAGAATATCCTGTGATACTCCAGATGGCAATCATATGATATCATATGCAACATCCTGCCAAAGTGGGCTAGTGAATCATGCAAGTATATCATGAGTCAATGCCGAAAAAAACGATATGAAGTTCTTGTCCATACCTATTTATTAGTCCCAAGCTGGCAGCCAAGTGGTGTGAAGGATTTCGTTGTTTCTCTGCCGCAGGACCCTGCTTGGGCGCAGGTGGCCAGTAAGGCTTGCCCAGTGCAGATCAAAGGTGCGACAGGGCAGTTGCTTGGCGGGATGAGCAGGGTCCGTATGGCAGGGAACAGAACGACCGCAGTGGTGACTCGAGGTTTGGTGATCAGTGGACGAATGGGAGATATGATGTAGAAGTAACACACCCAGATGCTTGGCTCAATCCTGGCAGTGAAACATGCGAGGGGCATGATGATTCTGCACAGCTGGTTGGACAGCTGGTTCATGCCAGTGCACCAAAAAAGCCTTGCCAACCCGAAATCTTCTGAAATCTTCTCCTGGGCGGCGGGATGCACGAGTGTTGTCAAGTGTTGTATTGATTTCGGTTTCATAGCAAAACAACCCGACTATGTATTATACATTATTATACTATATTAATCTATATTAATCTATATTAATCTATATTAATCTATATCATACCATGCATTACAATGCCATGATATGCCTGGCATCATGTTTGAAGATTCGGATGCCCAGGAGATGGCGCCAGTGTACGTGCTGAGAGGGGGGCCTTTTGAGCGCTTCCTCTATTTTGATTCAGAGCACTACTGGAGAGTTGGAAGCTGTGAGTACAAAGATCAGGACACATTTGGATCATTTAAGGATTCATTTGGCATATTTGGCGAATGTGATGAGTCATTTGATATCATTTGATCATATTCGATGGACTTGCAGGCTTGACATTGATTGGATGATGGATGAATGAAGTATATTTGCCCACACACGCGCACGCACACACGCACACACACACACACGCACACACACACACACGCACATAAAAAATAATATAATTATGTATACAATATACATAGACGCACCGAGACACCATTATGCACCTTATGTGGAAATGTGGTTTGGTTGAAGATATCGACGTTGGCCCGTCCAATTTTGCGGTTACAATGGTCTTAATGAAGGCTTCCATGCGGATGAGTGTGCGGGATACCCATGGGCACCAAAATTGCTACTTTCAGATGTGAAAGCATGATATGGTGGATTTGCGGGCCCTTCATTTTCAAACACATGATGCTATATAGACCATGCCTTCCCAAGATTTTTTGGTACTTGCTACAGTCATTTCGATATTTTCACATTTCATGTGTTTGTTTCCGGCAGGAGAAAGCTGCCGCAGGCTCCATGCGCAGTGCAGATCCAGTGCCTTGGTGGACTTAGACTGGCTTGGGTTGGAGATGTTCGACACATTTCGAAACGCTTTAAGTATGGCTTTGGGTGAAAGTTTCATTTGCAGAGGCCTGGTGTTGATCATGATAAGTCTGATAAGTTAAACATCCGAACATTCAATGATGGACCGTGATGGACCATGTTAATGTCAGGAACCTGATATCCAGCAGTTTCACCGCCAATATTGAGATCCTGTCGACATGGTCCATCTGCACATGTAGCCCCGGGCTTTTGAACAACGCCTTCTGAAGATAGGCATGGTATTGAATGCTTTGTTGAAGCGGCCGTATGGCCGTATGGGGGTCAAAATTGGATGACCCAAAATTGGTTGTTATTTTGTTCCTCATTTTTTACCCCCAAACCCTAGACCTAGACCTAAACATGGCATGAATAAGTATAGATAATGAAGTGAATTTTGTGGCCAGCATCCCCATCCCACGACCTGAGGTGCGCCCCGGCACCCTGCCGACGGCGGTGCACAGCTGGACGGTGCGAACAGGCTACGATGAATGGATGCTGCAGGCGGTGACGGTGGAAGGGCCCGGCCAAAACGGCTATGGCACACCGGCGCCGGCGCCAGCAGCTCAGTAGGCCACTGGACTTTTGATCACTGGACTCGCAGGACTCCAGTGCCAAAATCGGCGAAAAGTTGTTGCTGAGGGATGTCGCCCTCAGAATCGCAGGGTGATTCTATGTGATTTTTATAGATTTTTCTGGTTTGCCCGTAAGCTGGCAAAGTGAACGCCGACTCATCAGGCTCAGAATTAGCAATGCGACAATATGGTTTAAGAATGTTTAAGACTGGTTTAAGGACAGCTTCATCCATTTTCGTCCTATTGCCACTCCTGCAAGAGATGCGACCCTGCATCAGCAAAGATATGTCATGCCCACTAGCATGTTGGCAAACTGGCTGCTACTGCCTCGAAGTTTGTTATCCCCGACTGATCCTGGCCGCAGAACCTTGTACCCCCTTTCAATTTGAGGCTGACTTGTGATGAAGGCCAGTTCTCATAGTTCTCCATTGCTGTATTTTGTTGCGACCAGGCATTTTTACACATCAGCATCTTGGTTCAAGACCCGCGGTCGCATCTTGTGCTAACACACTTGTCTGAAACTCCCGTGTCCAAGATGATCCTTGGCTGCAGTCAGGCTCAGATACCGTAGCTCCAGCATTTCCAACATGGTTTTCTACCTGCCAGTCCGCAGGTCATTCTCTTTTCTGTGTATGCACACACTGTCACAAGAGAGAGTGAGAGAGAGGCATAGAAACAATGTATGATTGATGGCACTAGAATTTATAGAATTATGACATCAGCAGGCTCTAGGATGGAGGGTTTTCAGCCGTTTTTTTTTAATATGATCCAGGTTTGATTTGTTGTTATGATTTGTTTGTGGCCTGGTTTTGCAGTTGTGATTATGATATGGTTTGAGTCTATACAAAAGTTTTAGCGATGATTTTTATGTGGGTCAACACACTGTGTTTTCCGTTTCTCTTTTGAGGTATTGTTGAGTTTTGTTGAAAACGTTTTGAGCACATGTCAGAATCCTGTCGGCATGATATAAAATCGTATCAAAACCATATCAAAATCATATCAAAACCATAGAAACCTTGAGAAATCGACCAAAAGCTTGCCCCGTGTTGTTTATTTCTGTTTCCTTTCTTCAAGCAAACCCACCGGAACCCCCAAACAAATTAAAACCACATCAAATTCATATCATAAGCATCAGAGTCGGTCCAAACACGTTTAAACATTAAACCGTTTAAACTTCAAACCGTTTAAACACGTTTACAGCCATGACCCCGGAAATGTTTAAACGTTTAAACAGTTGCCCCACGGGCACTTTGGATATACATGTCACGAACAGATTTCTGAGTGCTTCATTCTGGAGTCAGTGCGATGTTTTTCTTGTGGCCGTAATTCTTTTTGGCGCAAGCCACCACTAGCTGAAATGCCTCCCAAGGAGGCACAAGCTAAAGCGCATGTGTCAGCAAGGGGCTTGAAGAGGGCCCGTGCAGCTGCTGAGCCCCAAGGCCCTGTGCATGCTGAAGATGTAGAAAGATTAGTTTTGGAAGGCAAGCGCTCATGGCTCTACAATCACTTCCATCTCAGAAAGGAGTGCGAAGTTGGATGGGAAAAGATTTTC